TCACTTGCCACCTGTCATCCCTGCAGTTTGCCCTGCCACTGCCTTCCTGCTGGCACTTTCTGGGCCGTCCAGGCTGGGACGTGGAGGCTCACCTTGGCTGCAGACCTCTTGGACCAACTCCGCGGGGCTCAGCAGAGAGCGGATCCTGCTCTCTCCCTCTGGCAGAAGACAGCCAAGCTTCCATCGATGCGTTATTAGTGTTAATTTTTATGATTAACATTGTTTTTCCCCTTATGGTGGAAATTTCTTGTTCCTTGTCACTCCCACAATTCACTTCTCTCGCAGTGTCTGGTGTCTTGCCAGACTCAGGGGAGAAAAAAATCCGCTGTCAGAATTCTTACTTGAAATCCCATTGGGCAAGCAGCCCCAAATCCTGAGCTTTTTACCAAAAATAGACTCAAAAACTTGAACGGAATCACCCTGCTTTCAGGCTGCCCATTTCTACAAGCCCCTGGCTCTGGGTGGCAAGAAGGGTCTGGGTATCTCTAGGCTTGGACCAAGGGTGTTGCAAGGACCTTCCTTGGTGGCCAGAGGCGTGTTGGCCCTTTGTGTCCTGGGGTTTGGCCTCTGAAGCAGACGTCCTGGCTGGCGCTGCCCAGGCAAATCCATCCCCAAGCTGCTGGCAAGGCTGGGCAGCGCGGCGGCACCACCGTGGCAGAGGCCCCAGTTAACCCGCCGTGCCTGTGTCCCCCTGGTGCTGCAGGTACACGGTGCTCTTCTCGCATGGCAACGCTGTGGACCTGGGGCAGATGAGCAGCTTCTACATCGGGCTGGGCACCCGCATCAACTGCAACATCTTCTCCTACGACTACTCGGGCTACGGCGTGAGCACAGGCAAGCCCTCGGAGAGGAACCTCTACTCTGACATTGATGCCGCGTGGCAGGCACTGCGGACGCGGTGAGCGGGGCACTGGGCAGGGGGAAGGGAGGACATCCACACTGCCGTCCGGAAAACCCTGCGGGCCGGCAGTCTGGAAAACAGGAAATCTCCCAGAGAGGGAACTTGTGTCACTTGTAGCAGGAAGGGATGGCCGGAAAGCAGCTGCATAAGGGGAGCCGGGGGACCTGGAGGGGCACGGGTGCTGCGGGATACCACCTTGCTTGGGGGAGCTGGCACAAGCCGTGCTCCCTGTTTTGCTGTTCCCAGGCTCTCCCCTGGCTGCGCTCAGCCCAGGTGCCCCAGCCGAGCCCAAGTGCAGCTTTGGCATGGGCTCTGCCTCCTCTGCCCTGCCTGCAGCCAGGCCTGGCTCGCAGCGTGCCCCAGGAGCTGGGGGCTGCCCCATACGGATCTGGGGTCCGCAAGCCCCTCTGCAACCCTGCTCCTGGCAAGGGTGAGCCTTGACACCCCCCTACAACTCATCTAGCAGCTCAGCCCTGGCTGCTCCCTGGTCCTGCCGAGGGTGCAGGGCAGCTGCTGCGGGTCCAGCTGTGAAGAGCCGGGGGACAGAGCCCCGTTCCCCCCCACCCAGGAAGCTTTGCAGGGTGCTGTGGCCAGAGCAGGGTGACTCCCTGAGCTGTATCTCCTGGCGATGTGACTCTGGTGCTTGGGCTCTGACCTGCCCTCTCCTCTCCCAGGTATGGAATCAGCCCGGAGAACATAATTTTGTATGGACAAAGCATCGGCACAGTGCCCACGGTTGATCTGGCCTCCCGCTATGAGTGCGCTGCCATTGTGCTCCACTCCCCGCTCACCTCTGGCATGAGAGTTGCCTTCCCCGAGACCAAGAAGACCTACTGGTTCGATGCCTTCCCCAAGTGAGTGGCCTGAAGAGAGGGGACAGGGGACAAGGGTCAGCTCTGGAGGGGCAGTGCCCAGACCAGCTCTGTCCTGGACACCAGCCCTGGCCCAAAGAAGAGTTATGGTGAAAGCTGTGGAACTGTGTCCCACTGTAGGCTTAAACATGCCCATCGCGATCCTCCTGCCTTGCTTTCAGTCCCCTGCGGGGGATCGTAACCCTCCCTGGGGTCACTGTGCCCCCTCCTGAGGCCATGCCATGTGTGCACCTCGCGTCCCCCAGTGGCATCATCTCTTGGCCATCCTGTCCCACTGTCTTTGCCTGTCAGCTTTGGGGTGGTCCCGCCGGCCCCTTGTCAGGTATCACAAGCCCTGGGGGTCCTCGGGACCCATCTCTCCCCTAAAGGTAATTTTTTGGAATTTTTTCCCCTCCTCTGCAGAGAGCAGCGGCACGGAAAGGCAGTGCTGAGGTGGGATGAGCTCTTGCTTTGCCTCTGCCCTGCAGCCTGGCCGGTGGGGCCCAAGGGACGGTCCCTGAGCCGGAAGCGGTGGCTGGGAGCCACCATCCCGATGGCCTCGCGTGGCCTTTGGGGCCAGGCTGAGAACAGCTGGGCTTTTGCTCCTCAGAGCCTGGCACGGCTGATCCCGACGCGGAGAGGAGGAGCACAGGAGGGCCCCTGCTCCTGCTGTCCTGCAGCGGTTCCCGTCAGCCTTGCTGGGGTCCCACGGGGCTGTTGTCACTGCTGTCTGGTCCTCGTCCGTCACGCCAGGGGAGATCTTGTCCTGGAGCTCATCCTTGGCAGAAGCTCCGTGTCCCCATGCTCTGCTGTGCTCAAAGAGCATTTCCTGGTGCCTCTCCCTGAGGATATGTGTTTGGGGGGGGCAGTAGGAATGGGGGTGCCTTGATCCTTGTACTTACCCCCCTTTCTCATCTCTTCCCCACCCACCTTCTTGGCAGCATCGAGAAGATCTCCAAAATCACCTCTCCTGTCCTCATCATCCACGGCACGGAGGACGAAGTCATCGACTTCTCCCACGGCCTGGCGCTCTTCGAACGCTGCCCCAAGGCTGTGGAGCCGCTGTGGGTGGACGGGGCCGGGCACAATGACATTGAACTCTACAGCCAGTACCTCGAGCGCCTTCGGAAATTCATCTCCCAGGAGCTGGCCAGCCAGCGCAACTAGCTGCGGGGCAGGGGGACAGGCCGGGGGTTTCTGCCTGTTTCTCCAGTTCTCCCAGTGTCCCTCCCCAGTCCCTGCTGCTGAAGGTGCAATGAGTTTGTACAGCCTCAGCTCCAGGCTCGGGAGAGGGCTGGAGGCCCTGGAGTGGGACGGTGCGTTTCCTCTTGGACACGAGCACAACTCTCCTCCCTCACGGTGTCAGCCCCGGCGCTGCTGGCACCACCGGCTGGGCTGGCAAGAGACGGCAGCTTCCCCCTTCCCCAGAGAGATGAGACCCACCCTCTTGATGGCATATCCTTGGCTTCGGACATGTCCTCGTCCCCTCTCCTAAACCAGCGAACTCCTGAATTCCTCCTGGCCGCTCTGCTGCTCTGACTATAGCAATAAGGCGAGTCGGAGAGGGGCTGGGGGCACAGCCCCCTCCCCGGCATCGCTGCGGGGTGGGACAGAGGAGGTGGCAGTTCCTGCTCTCAACGGAGCTTTCCCGGGATCGGCGCTGGGGGTGGTGGGGTGCCTGGTGTTTGCCCCGTGGCTGGGGCAGAGCCGTGTCCCCAAGTGGAGTT